AATAAGAACTACGTATTTTACTCTACAAAGGCATACCTCCAATGCTTTAGACTAAATGCCCCAAGAGCTTTTAAAAGGCTCTTCATGTGACAAGTGCCTGATCCCTCACTAGCATTGCACTTCTCTCCTAGGTCCCTTCCCATTTGTGAGTGCCTATGTCATCAAGCAGTATTTGAGTCTCAGTCTTTACAGCCCCAAGCCTTGTGATCTGACCTAACTACCACATTTTCACAAGTGTAGTCTAAGAATTCTTGTCAGACTATTTATTCATGTGGAGGTTACCTAAAACTACCAGATCTTTTCCTTTGAGTCAAATTTCCTGCATTCTCTATTTTTTAATTTTTAACTTAAAAGTTAAATATAGCACTTAATGCTTTCTTTACTAAATTTAACTTTGTTGGCTTTGACTCGTCACTCAAGCCTATTTTTGATTCTGTCTTCTGTCAAATTAGGAAACTCTCCTAGCTTAATGTAGTCTATACATGTAATTCACGTTTTTACTCAAGTCATTAGTTTAAAAATATGCTGATCTCAAATTGTCAGAGATAGACATCTACAGAGTACTGCCAGAGCCATCCTTAAAGCAGCACTTCCCAAAGGCTGCTTCATGTAATCCATCCCAAAATAAGTATGTAAAGAGCTTGGGAAATGCTGGGTTACCGTATAATTTGTATCCCTAAAATTTTAACGTACTTATTGAGTCTCTGAAAAAGAATTAGAACATAAAATGTTACTTGTGCTTCTTAAACTTGTTTGAATTGGAAACCTGTTCATGGATTTTTGTTTTGTTTTGTTTTGTAGTGCTGGGATCAAACACAAGACCTCATGCATGCTAAGCAAGCTCTCTACCACTTAGCTATATTCCCAGCTCAAAAAAACCTTTTCTCATCTTTAGAAATCAGTGTCCTATAAAGACACTTTGGGACCGCTGTGGGGGTGATAATGATACCTTAGCCAACATTCTTTGGGACAAGAGATTGTTTTACTAGCTACAAACCCACTTGCTGCTTTATCATGCAACCTGCCTAACTTCTGCAGATGATCCAAAGGATGATCAAGGCATTGTCATATCAAGCAACATCTGACCAGTCTAAGTAATTTATCACAAAATGAAATAGGACCAATTAACTAGGATTTAGTAGTGAAGCTACTAAATTCTACTGGAAAATTCTGTTATGCTTTATTTTTCAGTGATATTTAGTGAAATATTTCTATCATCTTAAGAATGGGTTATGGCTATGCACCAGTGATTCACTCCTGTAATCCTAGTTACTCAAGAAGCAGAGATCAGGAGGATCACAGTTTGAAGACAGCCCGGGGAAAATAAAATGGGTTATAAAAATTATTACTAAATACTGCATATTATAAAAAAATTATTATCTTAGAATAGGCTTTTTTTTTTTTTTTTTTTTTGGGTGATACTGGGGTTTGAACTCAGGGCCTTGTACTTAGTAGACAAGTGCTCTACCATTCGAGCCACATCTCCAGTTTTTTTTGGTGTTTTTGTTTTGTTTTTTTTAGTAGTACTAGGGTTTGAACTCTGGGCCTCATACTTGCTATGCAGGCATCCTACTGCTCAAGACACTCCGCCAGCCCTTTCTTTGTGTTGGGTATTTTTGAAATGGGGGTCTTTCGAACTATTTGCCCAGCCTGGCTTCAAATTGCAATCCTCCTGATCTCAGCCTCTTGAGTAGCTAGGGTTACAAGCTTGAGCCACCAGCTAGTTAAAAAATGTTAAAGATTTCATATATTGTCAAAAGAACTTAACATATTCATCTGAAGTTCACTTAAAGGATATTTAACAAAATTAATGGGCTTTGTAAAAACAAAAATTTAAGAAAAAAAACCAAGACATTATTAAGTACATCAAAGTCCAACATTTAGTGAGTTAATTTCAGAACTGAGGAGGAATAAGAAGATGGTAAGTTTTACTTTAAAAAATTACACATACAAATCATGTTTAAATTGATTGAAGCAGCATATTCACATAATGCAGCACCAGTACCACTAATCCTCCACATTGTTTATTAGGGCACTAAGCCTTAAGATGTTGTTGAGATAACTGGCTTCCATTAGCAAGTTATGTGACTGGCAGGATGATAAAGTCTTTTCACTCACAGGTCAGCTATTTCCTTTTCTTTAGTGGAGGGCAATCCTGATGATCCATCTTTTAGCTACAGTCTCTTATTGAGTCCCAATTCTCTTGCCTTTAGCTTTGATATGGCTCTAACTTTCCTCTTGTATCAGTTCATACTTGTCATCAACTCTTCTATTCAGTACAGCAAATATCAGGAGTTTGACCTTGGGGCAAAGTCCGGGTGGGCAGGTAAAATTTGACCACTGGACCTACTTCCTAATCTTTCATACCCAGCAATTCATGAAGCAGTATCAAATTTAAACTAAAAAACAGAAGCATGACCTCTTATAAGTACTATGAAAAGAGCTCTTTTGCCTTTCTAAGTATACTTGAAAAGAACTGTCAGCCACCCTATTAAGACAGAAATGGATCACAGACTACAAAAAAAAAAAAGGAAAAGTGCAGAAACTCAACTGAAATGTAAATAAAGGTGTTAACATTCCTTTATGTTTGGTGATATACTACTTCATGTAGGTATAAAAATACTGCCTAAAATGGCCCAAACAATGTATACGCATATGAATAAGCGAATAAATAATAAAAAAAAATACTGTCTATAAAATATCTTTACAAAGTCAGAAACATAAAAGCACTATAAAAACTTTAAGGCATCCTTATTTAAAAAAATCACTATCATCTGATACAAAAAACTTTTATCACTTCATGTGAGGTTTCATTTTCAAGAACAGTTATGTTTTTTGGCCACTTTTCATACTTGGCATTTCATCATGTAAATGTATATAAATTAATTTAAAAAACAAACATAGATGAAAAATAACTACCCTTTTTGATGTATTAAGTCTGGGCTACGGAAATCATTACATTTGTAAGCTACTGGTCAGGATGATCTTGCAGCTAATGGTAATTATCTCCCCATTTTAGGATATAAAAGTAAAAAACATGGTATTATTAAATTTTAACACAATAATCAGATAACATTGTTTAAAGTCCCTTTTAAGACTAGAAAAATTAATACATAATAAATAAGTTTACCAAAATTACCTAGCTATTAGTTTCTTCCACTGCATATTTACTACCATACTTCAGAATTGTTTAATATTTACATAACTAGTCATAAAAATCTTTTATTTTAGTAATTCTCTATACCTCTACTAGATTTCATAATTACATTTATTTTATAGATTTTTAAAATTCACTTAAAAGTCTTTCTCTTCATTTCTACTACTTTCCTCAACTTAGCAAGGCTAATCATTTATGGATCCAGGTCATCCAGGAGAGTGTTTCTTATTTGGCATAATATCTGAGCACTGATTGAAAACAGAAACAAATATGTTCAGTGCCATATAGACATAATTTGGTAACAGAAAATTCTCAGCTTCCTTCTAAACCTGACTTGAAGATATACCACTTATTTCTACATGACTCATTGTCTTATAAGGATTCCTAGGCAGTCTGTGGGTGTTTTGTTTTTCTAAATGATTTTCAAACTCTGTAAAGCTGAAAAACTATTTGTTATATTACTTTTATATCTATTTCAACCACATGTCTCCCCTCAAAATAATGATCATACATCAGAGTCCCTTAACTGCTGATATTGGTCCTGCTGCAAACATCACTGCAATAAAGTCTGCTTGTACCAATGGTGGAGCCTCACCTCTACCTATCTCCATCCCCCAAAGGGAACCAGCACTATTAATAGCCTGGTACCACAGTGGCTTTGTTATAATTCAGTCTCATATGATTCTTTTTTTCTTTTTTGGTACTGGGGTTTGAACTCAGGGCCTACACCTTGACCCACTTTACCAGCCTTTTTTTGTGTTGGGTGTTTTTGAGATAGGGTCTCACAAACTATTTGCCTGGGTTGGCTTTGAACCACAATCCTCCTGATTTCCACCTCCTGAGTAGGGAGTACAGGTGTGAGCCACCAGCGCCAGGCTCCATATAATTCTTGCCAAGAGCAATAGTCGCTCTTCCTGTCAATCTAGCACTCTCAGCCTTCTAACTGGGTTCATCCCTCACACCTTTGTGACCCCCAACTAAAATTTATTAAGCTCCTTAGTCCTAGTATTAAGAAAGAAAAACGAGAAGAGGAAGGAAGGAGTAAGAAAAAACATAAGATGGAAAAAGGGAAGAAAATAAAGACTATGACAATAGAGCAGAGTAGAAATGTCAGAGTTAAAAAATGAATAGAAGAGAGAAAAAGATTTCACATTTGTTACTATCAGCAGAAAATAAGAAACAACAAACCTCAGGTCACTAAACCAAAGTTTTTATGGTAATTATTTAGTCATGTGCTTTGCAGGTATGACCAAATTAAATATTCATAGTGAGAGTTGGCTTGGTGGCTCACACCCATAATGGTAGCTACTTACAGAGGGTGGAGATTAGGAGGATGGAGGTTCAGCTGGAGGCCAGCCTAGACCAAAGTTTGAAAGACCCCATCTCAATCAATAAAAGTGAACATGGTGATGCATGCCTGCTATCCCAGCTATGGGGGAAATATAAATAGAAGGATCGTAGTCTAGGCCAGCTTTGGCATAATCTTGAGACTATTTGAAAAATAAAAGCAAAAAGGGATGGGGGTGTGGCTCAAGTGGAAGAGTGCTTGCTTAACAAGTACAAGGCCCTGAGCTCAAACCCTAGTAGTGGGGAAAAAAAAATTCATTTGAAAATGTCTATAGAGTTGAGATACTGAATAGATACAGGTTAAGAGAGAAGTGTCAAATACAAAGTTACAAGAAAGCATTTTTCAATCCCAACTACTTGGGAGGTAGAGACAGAAGAATTACCATTAAGGCCAGTTTGGACAAAAGTCAGTTTGTTTCAAGGCAAACAAGCATTCCTGTAGCACTTAAAAACACAAGAGAAGGCAGTAAATGAAAAGTACATTATTACATCTTACTTGTCTGAGGTCAATGAATGCTAGCTGCAGGGTATCCCCTTGGAATCCTGGCACAGGCTCAGAGCTGGCAAACACTATTAAAAAAATTTTAAATAAAAGGAAATTAGAACATGACTGTAAGATATAATATGAGTTTAACTACTACATTTCTACTCATTACAAATGTATTATATTTACACACAACCATTTCAAATGAAGACTATTTATAACCTCCAATTTCTACTACTGGGAATACTACCCACACTGATAACACAAATATTTTAATAATTTTAAACTTTTAATCTGCCATTGACTCACTGCAATCTTTAATCACAATAAATTTAGAAGGTTATCCTACATGAATTTCAAAAGTAGTAATATACTTCAATCAAAGTAAAGTTTTCTGACTCTCTTTAGCCTTAGGTGAACGATTATATAGAAGCATTTTTGAACTATCAATTCCATGCTTGTCAACATATTTCAGTCTGCTTTGTTATATAGTATGCTCCATAAGAATCTCACCTCTAGCCAATGACAATAAAAGAGCAGACACCGAAGTAGAAAGTCAGCTTTACATGCAAACAGGTAAAATGTTCTAAGTAGCAAAATCAGCATGACTCAAGAATGTCTTCGAATTTTTTTTCATAAGGGAATACTGTTCCTTTACAACTAAAGGATATTATGACAAGATTTTAAAAATTCAAAAGATTCTTAAAATAATTTTTGTGCTTTAAGAATCTCAATACTACTAATAAAGCTTGTTTAAAGACAATTCCAACAGTATTAGTTATTCTAAAGCTAAAAGACTTCCATTTTGTAGATGACTGTGCTATTTTTACATGAAAGCTTCTCTGATTAGAATGCCTGTATACATCCTGCCTCCTCATTAATATCCTACTTTTCTTAGAGAACATCACAGATTTTCCATTTGTGAATTTAATTCAACTAGTATGTCAGAAGCCATTCAAAAGTTCGGCCTATATAGTTCTCAGAATAACAAAAATAATTAAGTTTAGTAAATTCTGTATTAAATGTAGTTTAGGAAGGCTCACAATCAGTAAATTAAAAAGAAATGAAAATTTAGCATATCTTAATTTATCTGGCATCTTTGGGGAATAAGGAATTCAAAATACGTTTTTCTTGTTGCAGTTATTTTTAAGATAATTTTTGCTTTAAGTAACAAAAATCTTAATTAGTATTTTTATGGAATTATGTGTTATAATACTTTCTTTGTCTTTTATTATTTGAGTATACTAAATATTACTGAAATTCTTCATAACTCTTCTGGATCACCATTAAAAAATATCTCTCTCTGTCTGCTGGGGATTGAAACCAGACAAGTGCTACTACCATTGAATACACTCCTAGCTTCCTAATAACACTTTTTGCTCTATACAAAATTGTCAGGGACTGCTATTGTATTAACTATTTCCCTTTACAGTAAAGAACTCAGAATACTGTGCTGTTTATGTTCTTGTGTCTAGCTCTAAAAAATTTTTTCTGCCATTTCTCTTGCAGGTTTTTTTGGTTTTTGTTTTTTTTCTCTCTCTCTTTTGTGGCACTGGAGCTTGAACTCAGCCTTGTGCTTGCTAGGTAGGTGTTCTACCACTTGAGCCACTCTGCCAGCCCTTCTCTTGCAGTTTTAATACAGATTCTTACTCTTGCTCTCTCCCTCATCTCTCTTATTAGTATGTTATTTTTCACCTTTTTGAGCTGGTACCTCAGCTAATCCATTACTAGAATTATGTGTAAAGTAAAAGCAAGTATGGCATGAACAAGGGTCTCTAAAATTAGTTTTTGAGATGGGGTCTTGCTATATTGACCAGGGTGGCCTCGAACTTTTGGCAAGTGATCTTTTTGCCTGAACCTCTGGAATACATGGAATTACAGACACATGCTACAGAACTGGCTGGTTAGTGAGTTTTCTATATCCCTGAGTTTATGCACCTTTTGAATATGAGTAACCAAGAGGCAGCACCCCATTCTACTCCCCTCCCCACTTCTTGGGTCTCTCTTATGTATTAAGTTGTTCACTAGATAACTAAACTCACCTTTCTCAGGGTCCCTATTACCAGAAAACCAGAATTTACTGAGCAAATCTAGCCACACTTTTCAGTAGTTAGTAAAATTTATTCCTATCACTGCTGTTTCATACAATGAACTAGATCACAAACAATTGAGCTGAGTGTCTCTAATTCCATCAGATCTTAATTAAAGAATGATAAGCAAAATTATAATAGCCTGTTAAAAGTAAGGGTTTTCTAATTTTTAAAATGCCTCTCTCTAAGACCACCCAGAATTTTGTTGGCTCTTTTTAACCACAGTATCAGGCTACTGTCTCTAAGTAACAGTTTAGCATGAATCCCTAGTCTTAAACCAAGACTGTAAATGTTAGCTCCGCTTCTACCATCACCATATACACATATAAATAAAGACTTCCTATAATATTGACAGAATCATTTTATCTATCAAGCACAAAAAAGCAGCTCAATTTAAGTTATATTTTCAGTTATTATGTACTTAATTTAGAAGATTTCTTTTCTTTCTTTTTTTTTCTTTTAAAGACAGGATCTCACTATGTAGCTCAGTCTGGCCTCAAAGTCAAGATCCTCCTGCCTTAGCTCCTTTATTTTAGTGACCAGGGCATGTAAATGGTGGATATAAAACCTTGCAACTAAGAGAGAGTCTCTATGAAATATCACCAACAGCCTCCTAAGGACTCAATTTAAAAGATGCCTAGTTCTTCATTTTATAGGGTAGAAAAATTAGTAACTTGCCCAGATCACACAGCTAATTCAGGCCTCCTGGCATGCAATCCATTGATCCAGAATCTGATTAAGTACCCAACCTCTCATCCTTTATCTCATTTCTCAAACAAATTTAACCAAGACAGAAGAAACTAACTAGTTTATAACTTTCAGTTTATTTTTTTTCTCTATTTTTTTTTTTAGGAATAGGAGGCAATTTAGCAATTGGGGGATTATCTGGCAAAGAGAACATTTATAATAATATGCTATTCAGTTTGATCAGTAGGTTCTTTTCTTTTACTTTAGAACTCAAATGTAATCAATTCTATTGTTTCTACTTTCTAAAATATCTCGAGTCTAAATCTTTCTCTACCTTAGTTTAAACTATCATCATTTCTTACTTGAATCACTAAAACACACTTCATCTGGTCTCCTATGTAAGATGTAAATGTGATTTGAGGACTTCAAAGTTTAATATCCTTTAATGGTTCACTATCATATTCACAATAAAACAAGTCTAAAGTCCTTTACAATATGCCTTTGCCTACCTCTCTATCTTCATCTATTACCACTTTCCCAGGAGTACCTCAAACTCTTTCCATGGTCTGATCGGAGACCCAGTTAGGTAAACAATTCTTTGCATATACCAAGTCTCTTTCCATTATGCCTTTGATCCTTCTGCCTAGTGCATCCTTCCTCTTTTCCAGCTGGCTAACTAACTTATCCTACAATTCAATCATCACCCTTCATAGGAAGACCTCCATTATCCCTTTGATTGGGCTGGATCTTTCCTCTGTTCTCATTCCTGTGTCTAGCCTAACAACAGCACTCATTTTGCTGCCTTATAATTGTTTACCTGTCTGGATCTTCCCATCAGACCATGAACTCCCTGAGGATTGGGACTGTACTTTCATTTCTAATCCCTATCACCTCAATAATCAATATTCAATGAAAGGTTTTTCTTTTTTTCCTATGAAAGTTTTTTAAATAAAAAGAAACTGAACAAATGCCATTCCGTCTTGATACTTAATATATAATGTAGCTTATTGATTAGATGTAAAATGGTACTATCCAACAGAACCTTCTGCAATAGTGGAAATGTTCTGTAACTGCTGAACAGAATTTTTAGGTTTATTTTGGTTAATTTTTTTTTTAGCACAGGTTGGAATCAAACTGTGATTCTCCTGATCTCTGCCTCCTAAGTAGCTAGGATTTATTTTACTTAATTGAAGTTTACATAGAACATTCTATGCATACTTAGTGTATTTATATCAGAATTGAGAATGGGTGAGAATATTCCTAATGCATTCCTCAAAAAAACTAAATTGTGAGTTCTTGCACTAAATAAGAAGCTCCTAGAAAGCAGAAGTTTCTTTTACCTTTAGATTTATGCTGTGCCTGGTGAGTAGGAAACATTTTCAACAAATGTGTGCTAAATGAATGAATACATAGTAATATAAATTAATTATACTAATATTGTCTCATGATTATTGTCTCTTGAGGTAGATTTTAAGTTTTTAAAGAACTGATGACTAATTTTTGAAACTCCCTGAAGTACTCTTCAAATTTCTTCTTGGCTCATTCAGACTCTCATTTTGTATGTGATTTGTCATATTTGGGGGTTGCCCTGTTCTCTCTCTTGGGCAATCATTTAATTTTAAAAATAAAGCCTACTTACATATTATGGTATCACTTTGTTACTTAGAGATATCTTTAAAGGTTATTTTTAAAAAGACATATATTCATCCCAGTGTTCCAAAAAAAAAGTTTAATTTCACTTCTAAGTTTTAAAAAATTTTTAAGAAGGTAATTCTAAATATTTGTTGCTTTCTACATCTTTGCTGCCTCCAATTTAACTATTCTCTTTTCATAAGGTTTTTCTTTTCTGGCACTACTGAGGTTTGAACTCAAGGCCTCACACTTACTAGGCAGGCACTCTACCACTTGAACCACTCCACCAGCAAATATTTATTGGGTTATTTTTTGTGAGTTTTTAAAAAAATTATTTAATTTATTTTTTTGACCATTTTCTTTTTAAAAACAAAATAAGTTCATGATAAATTCATTTCCTTTATGTTTTGACATATTATGGAATTTAGTAACAATAAAGGAGTATTTTTAAATACTTTAAAAAATAAGATTAGAGATGGAGATGTTTGATTTTATTGGGAACATCTATGATAATTGATATAGTTCTGCTACATAAACCAAACTGGGAACGAGACCCATTCTGAATCAATGCAGATGAAATTAATAACAAAAAGTAACACAGGCTATGTGGGCTATAATTATAACAAAAAGATATCTTCTAAATTGGCAATCTATAAAGTTTTAAAAGAATAAAAAAA